TAACTACATTCTCATAAATTGCTTTTGATTTACTTATAATCTCTTAAACTCAATATCATATTCATATTAATTACATACATTCACACATAACATACCCTTCCTTAAATTCTTATCCGCACATAGAATACCCTTTTCCTTAAACATATATCACGCATAAACAAATATTCACACATATAATATATTTCCTTAAACATGTAGAATACCCTATCTCATATACATATTCACATAACAACATATTCTCACCATTCACAAACACAACCAATCACTTATGCACATAGACTCATTATCGTATCACATAATATCATTCAGTCACAATTACGAAAGGAGATGATAATTCACACTATCAATATGGACCAAATCATAGCTTCTACAGATCAGAGTTATAGTCATAGTTACGATTCACATCATCAACCAGGGACACAGTCATAGTTACAGTCAATAAATGGTCCATGAGATAGAATTCATAACCATGCCATACCAATCCTGGACTGCACATGTATTCACAATTCAATGATAAAAAAAAATCTTTACTGTTAATCCCAGGTATTCTCTATCATAATTTGCCTCATATAATACCTTGAGATTTCTACTTAATTCCTCCTTATTTTATTTTTGGGGCAAGTCCTAATCTCACACTTCTTCACGCGTAAATTACCACCAAGTTCTAGAACTCATTAACTTTTAAAATATCTTAACTTATTTAAGATATTAAAAGATACATCACAACATTTAAACTCCAAATTATTCACATCATGAATGATTTAAATTTCCCTATTAATTCATAGTCACCCAACACTTTCTATATTTTTCTCATTGTATACATTGTTATCAAAATTCAATCAATTGGAACTCCTCTATAATTTTGTAAATAATTTATTCACTCCACTAATTATTGAACCAAATCACATATATAATATTTATTTGAGGTATTATATTCATTAATAATGCTTTGTTTTATATAATTTGCCTTTTCAAAGTTGTAATAAATTTCTTCAACCAATATTCTAGATATCTATCATAATCATTCATGTTCCCTAGCCCATCACTATTCATTGCTTGGAATGTAGTTGACCATGTTTATTGGCACATATAATCCTTAATTCAAATTTACTTTATTTGCTTATGGGTTAGAGGCCTAATGGAAAAATCCATTAGTTAATTTCTCAATATTATTAATGTTTTCCTATCTTTGTTTGTTTTAAATTAATGTAACCCATCAAACTAAATTTTATCCTTCTCTCTTAATCCATTTATAAGGGTTGGGCTCACTGAAATTTTAACTACTCTTATTCCCTTCATATGAGCTAGGCCCACTAGATTTAATTTCCTTCTTTTTTTCTTAATTTCTTCAGGTTTGGCCCAATTCATCATTGAAATTCCTTTATTCTTCCTACGGGCTCAACCCATTTGAGTTGGGCCTTTTTTTCCCTCTTTATTTATTTTTGTACTTATTTTTCTTTTTATTAGATTAAATCCACTAAAATTTTGGACCCCTCATTAAGCCCACTTTACTTATGGACTTCATATACCTGACTCCCTTTCTGGATTACAAAGTTATTATATATTTATATATATTTTTACCCTTTCATTTCATTTTACTCTTCCAACTTAACTACTAAGCCCGTTCTACGAATCCTTATGGGCTCTGGCCCAAGTTAGGGTAAATCAAGCCTGGGCCTCATAGGTATAATCAACCTGACCCACATGAAGCCCCCTTTCCATCTTCTTCAATCTCTGAAAACATTAATTGCACTTCACATTCAATTCCAGCTGCCATCTTCATCACATAACAATTAGCCAATTCAAGCTTTGCTCTGTCATCACATGATCCACTAACCGTATTCACAACAATCAATCCTTATTACAATTCTTTAACAAATAATGAATCTAAATCAAATATATTAGCTTAAATCTAGGAATTTAGGGTATAAACTACCCTTACCTAGGTCTCGAATAGATGAAGCTTGTGGTGTGGATTCTCTTCTTCACCTATAGCTGCACACATAAATACCATGCTATTTGTTGCTATATCGAATCCAACGAACATGGTATTTTAATTCAAGTTCAGGGAGGAAAAGTATACTCACTATGGCATTCTTTGTAATGCATCATCGTTCGTAAATGACAAAGGAATTCTTGGCCTTCTACCCTTCGCCATCACGCACTCATCCTTTCTCACTATTGATTTCATGCACCTTTTCTCTCCTCCTCCCTTCTCTCCTGATCAAATAGAGGCTTGGTTTTTTTTTCTTTTTAAATTTGTGAAACCCTAATTCTATTTACAACCAAACATATCTAATCCTAACCGTCAAAATTGGAGAGTGAATCCTCACCGTTGATTTATTTTTCTTTTATCAAAATAACATCGTTTTGATGTTTTTTAAAATGACATCATTTTTGAGCTTCTGATGCTCAATTTCAAAACAACATCCTTTTAAAGCAGATGGGCTGAATTACTTACCTGGGCCTGGATATTACAGAAAGAAAATAGGAGATTGCCCTTGTGCAATCTCCACCAAAAAGAGTGGCTCGTGACGGCCACTACGAGCCCAAGAGAGGTAGAGATCACCACTGACAATCCCACTGAAAAAGAAGAAGTCCCAAGCGGCATGGCGTCGCAAGTCGAAGAAGAGAAGAAGAAGGAGAAGAGGAAGAGAAAGACTGAGGGAGAAGAGAGGGAAGTGGGGTGAGCAAGAGAGGAAGGTGAACCAAGGGAGAATAAGAAAATAAAGGAAGGAAGAAGGAAAGAAAAAAGGGAGCGGGGAACAGGAAAGGATGGAGAAAAGGTGGTGTGCACACCGTCACGAGCTACAGTACTGCATCCACTAGGGGTAGATACGTGGGATCTGCGAATTTTGATGTGTTTGGTGTAATGTCATCATGTGTGGTGGTTGTCGTGAGTGGTTTGGGGTGGCTGACCGTGTTGAGGTGCGCGACTAGGCCGCGGGTTGGTGTGCGGCAGTTTGGGTGGACACTCAGAGGCTGCAACCCACAACTCCTTCTGGTAACCACTGAGGCAAGTTCGTTCCTTCCGTTCTAGTTTGATCGATTTAACCGGCTTTTAACTAGGTGATCTAAATAAATAAATAAAATTCAAAACTTACATAACAAAAATTCAAATGAAAAAATTAACTTCAATAACCAATAAAAAAATTAAAACTTAAAATCAACATATAGTTTTGCATAAACAATAAATTATGATTAAAAATAATAAAAGAAATAATTGATTAGAAAAGCAAGGGTAAATTTAAGAAGAAAGTAGATTTAGGAATGTGTTAAAGTAGGCTAATTAAGCATAAGTCAAAATTAAAAATTGATATAGATAGGTAAAATAATAAAACTTTGCTCCATAAAACTTCAACAACTAAATAAATTTAACTTACAATTAATTACAGACTTCAATAAGAAAGTGAAGAGGAAATGAAAAGGATTGAAATGAAAACGATGATG